ATGTTGATAACTTACTTGGAGAAATGATGGTGGTTTTGTTATCACGCATTATCAGAAATTACATGTAACCTTTCACCTTCTCAGAATGACTAATGAGTATTTTCTCCCAACCAAATCAATACTGTTTCAACCAAAGACATGACGAGCAGACAGATATATCAGTTGGGGATATCGTTTGATTTAAGTGTTCCTGTCTAAGAAAGTGTTCCAGGAGCCAAGAGTGGTGGTCAACCGATTCGGCTGAAACTTGGCACAAAATTTGAGTGCAATAAGATGTTTCAAAAGCCACTTTAACTCACTTCTCTGACTGTTTTTTCTGGAGTTTCAGGGGGGTCTCATTTGTGGCCTGTGGAGCACCAAAAACTCCTCCTTCTCGGTAACATTTTGAAAGTGCTATAAAACTCCATTGGTAAATTGTGCTGCCAAACGAATTTGACTATGCACTCTACTATAGCGGAGCTTTTACTTCATAAGTGTAATTTTGTTCTCAAGTGATTAGACAGAGAGGCGCCTAGGGCTAAAGTTAGGTCAAATTTGAGGGCAAAATCACCACCCAAAATTGCCATTTTTCAAAAACAATAACACTCACCTGCCTTCTTGCATAACTTTTATATCAAATCCAGTATGTACTTTAGTGACCCATTTATCAAAATCAGATGAGAAAAACTTGGCTTATTAAGGTTTGTTAGGTTTTTGGCACAAACTCTCCATGCCCCTCTAAGGCCAAGCAAAATGAAGTTTTGAGCATAATTCATGCTATAAACAGTCCAAAATCTTGACATAAAGCCTCTATTTTGTATTTGGTGCGTGAAAATGAAACATTAAAGCTAATCCAGTGTCATCATCTAGAAATACCTCGACTTATAGCTTAAAAATGCCTGTGTATAAAACCCCCACAGGACAAAGAACTTTCTACTTCAGGACAGTCAAACTCTGGAACTCATTGGACTGTATTCCTAAGTTGAAACTGACACTAAAGGACTTCTAACGTTGCCTGAAGAGAAGCCTTACCTCAAACTTTTTAGAGACATAGGGCCTATTTACATGGAAGGAGGGTGTCCCCGGCTAACCGAGCTACCCGGCTAACCGAGCTACCCTGGGCGCGCTAACTCCTCATACGTTTCTTTGGAAAACGCTTGAAGCGTTTACATGCTAGACGGGGTAGTCCGCCTACCCGGGGCACCCTGTCTACTTGCCTGGGGCACCCGGCTAGGCGGGATAGCTTTTTACCATGTAAACGGTTCGTGCCGGGCTATCCCGGCTAGCCGAGGAGAAATTAACCGCGAAAACATCCATAAACATGGAGGCCAAGGTCAGTACTTTCGTCGTTACCATTTGCCAGTGTTATCTGCCGAACAAAATGACAGTCAGTCTGAAGCGATCAATGTAATAGATGAGTCTCAGGCAGAGAACAGATTCGTACCCGTGCAGGAAGCTGAAATAATCACTTTTACCAAAATAAATTCACGGCAATTAAAGAGGAAAGCAGATACAACTTCAGCTTCTATCAGCAAGGAGAAGAAGTCAAGGAAGTTTTCTTGGACACCCGAGTCAGTCGAGGCTCTTCTGAAATACACCAAAGAATTTAAAACTAAATGTGAATTCAGCGGAGTAGACTTTGAAGCTGATCTTCAAAGTCTATTCTATCCATTGAGCTAACCGCCTCCCAGTTAGCTCAATGGATAGAGCGCTGGGTTGTTGTGCGGAAGGTCGAGGGTTCGAGACCCGGACGGACCAACACTCAAGGTCTTACAATGATTGAGAAGAATATCCTACCTTTCTATAACATCACGAAACGGTTAGATATTCTAGTTTTCTCGGATAGGGACGAATAAATGGAGGCCCCGCCTCCTGCAGGATTAGGGCAGGAGACGTTAATTTCCCACGCACGAGATTACTGTGTGATGGATGTCCTCCCCTGGGGTGGGATGGGTGGGTAACAGGACCCCCGTTGATACCAGTGTTTACTACACTGAAGGGGCTATCCTGTATAAATATAGATGTCTACTCTAAAGCTTAAACACGGAAGTAC